AGTCTTGCAAGTGTATAAATTACGAAACACACACATACATAGACGCACTTTCCCTTTTCCCTTCTTATCTTTCTTCCTTTTATCAGTTTTCCTCACTCCGATTTCATAACCACTGTTGGGAAACGAAAGAAGGAATGGAGGGATCTCACAATGACGTCACCCGTGGGAATATGTATGTCAGTCGGCCGCATACTGTATTGTTGTTTGTTACAGTTACATATTTCTTTCTTTATTTATTTATTTATTTACTTATTTACTCATGTAGAAGGTGTCCTCGAGCGAAAAAACAGAAGCCGTGATAAGAAACCGTGGCAAGACCGGTTTTCACGATGAAAATGAACCGGTTGCCGTGTTTCTACGAGGCGAGGCTCTTGCGCGAGTCGAGGGGCAGGAAGTACAGGTCATGATGAAGATGGCCAAGCCGGAGCCAGGCGACGTCACTCGAGCCGTCTGGCTGACCGTCGCGGCACACTGGAGTTACCCGGTGGAGCCTTCGGTCCGGGCATCGGGGCCTGTCGGAATACATGATCGGGTGGAGGGCTGAGCGAGGGCATTTAGCATGTATGAGGCATGGGCAGGGTAATTGAGCCCTCGCAATTATCTCCGGGTCAATGCATTAGGGTTAGTATTTAAAACTAAAGACGTGAGCGACTTATTAAGTAAGAACAAGGCTTAGGAAAGAGCGTGGGAGAGACAGGAAGACTGACAGACAGACAGGCCCGGGCAAGGAAGCGCAGGGAGAAGTTGTACATAAACAAATTTAAAGATGAGAAGAGATGGCCAACGAGGGCCTCGAGATCAGTTTTTGCAGTGCAGTGTTCAACAGGGCCTTTGTTCACGCGGTAGGCGAGTATCAACTTATGAAGTGCGTCATGTGTTTTCAGTTCATGGCTTCAATTTTAAGGGATGTGAACCAGTTCATCAGAAGTGTTGTACGTTGGTAGAATCATTATGATTTCATTGGTGTGGGAAGACATGTTGACGTAGGCCTAATTCCTTTACGTTCCCAGCGAAGTTATGTCCATTATTATGGGAATTTAATTCGTCCGGTCCGTCGGTCGCCGTGTCGCCGTCATCGCCCTGAGGCTCAGCTCCTGCCACAACCTAGAGCGAAGCTTCACGAAGGGGACCGACCATCCCCAAACCGCCATTATTGACACCAACACCAATCAGCGCTGGTTCCCTCAGACGCCTCCCACGTCCCGGCCGCAATATGAGCCGTGCCTGAAGGGTTGTTGCAGCAGATACGATAAGCGGAGTCGGCGAGGGTCTCCGTGCCGCTGACAAACACTTACTGAAGAGGTGGTTGTTGCCACGTCGCCCCCCTCTGTCAACAGCCACCACCTCCAGCTGGGTCTCCCATTGCAAGGCTGCTCCTTGTCGCCACCCGCTCGGCCGCGCTCCCTCCCTGCAGGCGACTCCGCTTTATTGCCGGCGGCCTGATTATGCTGCGAAGGACCATTGACTCTTGCGTAGGTTTGGATCTGCCGGGATTAGCTCAAGTAATGTGGGTGTTGATCTTTGGGAGAGAGGCGAGGCGAGTTAGCTTCGGATTAGGCGAGTTCACGGGAGGGGAAGGGGCTGGGTTGCGTGCGTGAACGTGCTTCTGCGTCTCTGTCATAATGTAATGCTCGTCCCAACCTTCATCTTCCTGTTTACTTATTTTATTCGTCAACCTATCTATCTACTCATTCATTTTTTTCATTCTTTATTATTATTCTTTGGCAACTTAACCTGGATGAGCTCGTAGCTGTTACCATGCCCCATGTCCTTCAGCGGGCCCTCACCTTCACCTTCTGCTCTGCTTGGTGTCATGTGGATCCTGCCTGGCGGTGTTGGAGGGACACGCCCACTTGGCGTCCGGCATGACTGGAGCTTGTGTATCTTGGCCCCGTGCCCGGCGCCCTCGTGCTCGCGCGTATGTGCGTCTGGAGAAGCACCGCTTTATCGACAGCGCATCATAGTTTGTACTATTTACATACAATATGATATATATATATATATAATATATATATATATATATATATATATATATATATATATATATATATATATATATATATATATATATAATGTAAATATGTATACATATGTAAATATGTATACATATGTAAATATATATACATGTAAATATATATACATGTGCAAATATATATATATATATATATATATATATATATATATATATATATATATATATATATATATATATATATATATATATATATATATATATGTGTGTGTGTTCGTGTTTGTGTATGTATGCGTGTGTCCATGTGCTTGTGCACACATGCATATATGTATATATATAGCTTCCTTGCTCAACTTTGATTGATACACTTTTACTAAATCATCTTTATTCTGTCATGCGCCGTGTTTACTGAACAATAAAGAACATAATATGAATGTTGGTGAAAGTTAGCTATGATGGAATCACGTGAAACATAGTGAACTCCTTATTAGGAATTTTATACTAAAAGATTATGCAGGCCAACTTGACAAACACTTGTTATCGTCATATGATTAGATACAACAGGGATTAACAGAGTATTAACTGACTGACGGCGATTACATGCATTGATCTGTTGTTGTTTTCTTTGTATGCATAGATGTCTTCACAAAGGCCTACCTCACTTGTTTATCCCCTTCCCTGAAGTTTCGTTGGATAAATTGTTTCTATTATTATTATCATCCTTAACATAAGTCCCACTTTAAAAGGCGGCTGAAAGATATGTGTTCGTTACCCTTTATTTGTTGATTCTGAAAACCGTGTGGGGAGAGGGGCAGGCACGCTCAGGTCTGACATTGGTTGCGGGGTCGCGGCCTTGAGCTGTCTTCTCTTTTCGTACAGATAAACCTGTGTTGGCGATGTGTTTCCGCGAGTATACGGCACGCGGAGCTGTGAATGTACCGGTTTTTGCCTTTTGTGAGGCGGCACATGGGTTGATAATATTTCCCTGCGATAGCGATCTTGTCCATGGGCCAAGTTCACTTCTCACACAGCATATTTGCCCACTCCCTCTTATGCCCTTTATTTCTTCGTAGAATGTAGTCCTTGTAAATCCCGTTGACCATGAGCTGTATGGACGGAGCTCGGCGCAGAAACAGAGGCACAGGACCAAGCTCTCTTATGCCGTCGCTGCGATGACGAATGAAAGTGGATGTCTGATATCATTGTTCTATTTCAGGAATCAGGTATTTACTCAGTGCCAAAACTAGAGGCTAAAGACATGCATGGGCTTTAAATGCCCATATCTATATTTGGCTTGAGTGAAAACAGACCAAAGAACTGTGATTAACCATCACTTTGATGAATGTATGTTTTGTGGAGTACCGGAGACAATCGTATTGTGTCGTACAAAAGCGTGATATTATGAGTTCCTTGACGTAAAGTAGCGAAATACGGCTCAGTGACGCCGGCCACAGATGGAGGAAGGGATGCAGACCACCATCAGGAGAGACTGTGGGGAGGAGAGCACCGCCCAGGACGGGCTCCTGGACCAGGCGCCTGGTGCTCCTCAGACAGATTACAGCAACACGGCCGTCACTGAACGCTGCACTGAGCCCCCCACGCACGTCGATTTCGGCGAATCCGAGGAGAGCAGCCCGCAGTTCCAACCTCTGATCCAGCGCCCATTCGAAAGTGATGCTACCTTGGTTGAGGCAGACAACAGCAATGATGATAACAATAACAACAACAACAGCAGTAGCAGCAATGTTCCTGACAACATCAGAGGCCCTGATCCTTCCTCCGAGGCCCAGGTGAAGGCAGCAGGAAGCGAAGGAAGCGCGAACGAGGAAGCGCATGGCCCCGCTTCTCACCCGACACCTGGAGACGAAGGGGCGACGGATCTCATGGCCTCGATTTGCCGGGTTCTTCCGGAGTTACACAACATCAATGGGATGCGGGCCATCGACTCCGATGTGCTGGTCAACGAGGCTGTGAATCAAGAGATTGTGTTCGGCACTCTGTGTGACCCTTCAAGCTCAAGTGCCAGCGTACCCCCAAAGGACCCCATGTGTTGTGATGCTGGTAATCACGACACGGGTGATCGAAAGGTAGAGGAACCACCTTCACAGGAATCTTGCCCTCAGGATAAGGGCGACCAAGTCTCAGACGAAAACCCGCCGACTCAGAGTCCAGAGTCCTTGGCAAAAGCAGAAGAGTCGCAAGAAATTGCGGGAGCCCTAGACGGCCCTGATCCAATCCTAGAGGAAAAGGAAGGGCTGATACAAAGTGGAAATATGCCACAGGATGAAGTTGATGCAGATAATAGCTTAATCGTTGTGCCAAAGATCGATGGTGTGGAAGGAGGAGGCATCGGTGACCGGGTAATGGCGGCGGCGGAGGAGGAGACGAAAGCCACGAAGAGCGATAACGAGTACAAAGCCGAGGCGACCGCGCAAGAGGCCTCTGCCGACGCGGAGTGTCGACAGGGAGGCCATGAAACAAAGTCAAGTACGGATATGCTAATGGAACTGGACAAAGGACGGGAAGCCCATGATGGCACCGGTGCGTCATGCGAGGTCTGTAGCCATGACGAAATGCAAGCCGATGGTCAGACGGAGGACGGATGTGGTGGCAGCAGCACCACGGTCGGTGATGCCGTGTGCAAAGAAAGCGAGGGAAATGAAGGAGTGAACGCTGTGCCGGCAGTCGAGCGGGCTGACGACGAACCACACTACGCGACAGTGAAGAAGCCAATGCCAGTGCTCATGCCCGTGCCCGAGGCTTGCGTTGAACCAGACGCAGATGTGCAGTGTTGCAGTGCCCTCGGGGAAGCGGGTGGCGAGGGTTGTAGTGGTGCCAAAGAGGTCGTGAAGACCGTTGACGACCATCCCTATCAGCGTGTGTGTGAGGAGACGCTGAGTGCCGAGGAGATAGGTAGGCCGCCCTCTTCGGAGTGCCCCGGTGGCGAGGGTAGGGAGACTGGCGGCGCCCTTGGCACTGACCGCTTGCCAGTCCCCGAACCAGTCTACGAAAGCATCGAAGATAGAAATGAAAAAAACGGCCAAGATTGTGGTAAGAACTGAAGCCTCGGGTGCAGCTGAGAACTCATTCATTGTTATTGTTTTTGTTTTGCTTTGTTTTTATCGTTTACGCTTTCCTGGCTTTGGTGACGGACGCTGGCACATATGGTTTGGGGATTTGTGATTACGTGCATGTGGTTTATTTATGCTGTTTATGAGTATTGCCTATTAATCTCTTTATTTTCCTATTGTGATATGTTAGTTCGAGTCATCGCGGGACGAGACTGGATTAAATGACCTGTATATTTTAAGCAGTGATACATTTTTGCGTCTGTATTTGAATTTGAATTCAGCGTTACACATCAGATTTATAATCGTCCTCTTTTCCCTTTTCCCCAGACTCACGGTCGAGCAGGTCGAGCAGATCAAGCCGGTCGAGCACCCTGAGCGGACCGTGGTGTGAGGACCGCATCTACGAGGACATTTCGGACTTAGGGAGCGGCGGCGGCGGCGGCGGAAGCGTCGGGGGCGGCAGTGGCGGCGGTGGTGGCGGTAGCAGCGGTGGCGGAGGGAGCGAGGAGACGTGGGTGTCCCGACGCCTCCACGTGCACCGGCAGTTGTCATCTTCGGATTCCTGGGGCTCCGAGGACTTCGAGTCTTACTCCAGCAACGAGGAGGACAACGGTACAGGCTCAGTCAAAAACCAGGCGCCAAAGTGAGTTCAGTGCGTGCGTTTTTTTGTGTGGAAGTATGTGCATCGATGCTACTCATAAATATAACTTGTCATTTTATTATTGTTAGTGTTAATATTATTGGTGCTGTGGTAGGAAAAAGGGATTTTTAAGTGAACCAGAAATGCATTAGTGTCAGTGAGTATTTCTGCTTTTTAGAAATAACGAGGGGCTTAGCGTTTCTGTTGGCATGTAGCAATTTTCCACTAATTCAGAAAAAAGGACTAGCAATATTTTGACCTTAAAGCCTGGCGGGAAACGATTTGCCAAGTGAGTCACTTCCTTGCTTAATGTCTACTAGGCTTGATCCTCCCCAAGCTATGTTTGGCTTGGCTACGCCTTATCCACCGTATCTGTAGCTATCTTCTGGTATTTTAGTTCGGGCATACCACACGAATATAGAAGTCGTTAATTACACGCGATAGTTCTGGCTGTGGTACTGTCTAATGATTCGCGCATTTTTAGCCCAAACTGTCAAAGGGATGGTCTTGAGAAACTCAGCCAATGAGTCACAAGAGATATGAATAATAGCATTATCGAGGAGCCTGCCTTATCTTTGTACCTCCTGGCAATAGACGGCCAGTGATAACATCAGTTGTCATGGGAGAATAGTGAGAAGCACAGGCGTGAGTTTGTGTCCTGACGTCTGAGTGCACAACGCGGTAGTTGCGGCTGCTACCAGGCGATGTGACGATGCGAGTGACGTGACCGTCGTCGAAAGATGAACCAGCAGTGCATCATCTGAAATGGCTCCGCCAATTGCTGTTTCTCGAAAAATCAGTACCGGAAGTATACCTAAATCGTCACGAACAAAAGTAAAGCGATCACATAGTCTGAACGTACCCAGTGCCACCCGCAATAATGCAGGTTCATGTAATAATAACAATGTGAGCTCTTCGTGTGAGGCTATAAACGAGATAGGAAGAGTAAATCCAGGAGGAAGGTGGAGCTTTGATGAAGCTCCCTTCATTACCTTACCGTTCCCTGGGGAATCGGCGGACGAGCAGGAGGGAAAGAACCGAACAACCAAAAGCCAAGGGACGGGCTGTGCGGAAAGTGAAGATGTCACTTCTACAAGTTTTACAGGATCCGTAAAATGGGTTGAAGGCTTGGATGTGACTACTAGTGACGTCAGAGGAACACACTCGACTGACTCATGCGGTAGTAATCCAAGTGCAGAGAGGGAAGGGAAATTTAATGTTGGCACTGAGACTGATTGTTCAGGCAATCTGTCAAGTGACGCCACGTGGAGCTATGGTAATGGTGTACGCGTTGAGAAGCAAAACAAATTGTTCTGCCCTGAAAGAAATATACGAGAGGGCAGTGAAGGACCGGCCATCGAGCGTGTCAAAGTAAGGACACAGAACACGAGCTCCACATATATTGGGTACGCCAAGGGTAGCATACTTTCGAGAAGTCGTAATGGCTCAACACTGTGTACCATAAATGAAGAAAATGATTCATCCATCCGTAATGACGGCGCAGCAAACAAAATTACCCCAGATCCCCGCGTAACCCAGCCCGTCCTCCTGAGATGCAAAATGACTCTATCAAGCAATTTGCCCAACCAGCGATGGAGCATTGCAGGTTCCGGGGTCCAGGACTCGCCAAATCTGAAAAGAGTGCACAATGATCTCTCTGACACCAACATACCGCAGACAGCAGTATCACACCACCTGCTGACACCCGAAGACAAAAACGACAGCAGCAAAGAACAGAAATCAACCACAGAGCAGGCAGTGGCAGACTCGGGATCCAAAGACTCCCTAACCTCCATGAACTTCTTAGACGAGAGTCAGAGTCTGCAAGACCTGACCCATGACAAGAGCCAGAGTTTGCTAGACCTGAGCCGCTGCATGTCTCCAGAGGGTCAGTGGGAGAGCCCGAACACCAGGCTCGGAAAGACTATGTCCATGAACAGGCCCAAAGAAGACAAGCCCTTGGGACTGAGGCGGAGCGCGAGCTTTAACTTCAGCTTTAGGGGAAGCAGTGAAAAGTTAGTGGAGAGTTTGTCAGATTTCGTTTGATTATATTAAAGGGCGTATATATAGTGTCATGCAAAATAACAACTCGGTATAGTGTGTAATGTGTAAGCTTAATACATGCAATGATTAATCATTTTCCTAAAGAATGGTAATTACTGGTCTCACAGGATGACCTTTTCATATAACAAAAAAAAAAGAAGGAAAAGAAAGAAGATGATTCATTCAGAGCTGAATAATTATGATAACAAAAGTGCCCACTGTATTGTTACGTTCTCTGCTGTATCTAAGGATAGTAATGAAAGTTCAAGTATTTTAGTAGATAAGTATATTAGTAGATAAAACATTGATGTTAGTATTGATATTTCTTGTGTTGAGAATGATTATAATAGTGATGATAATAATTGCAGCACCTTTAGTAAATGACTAGCACAGAGTAAAGCATTTGTAAGTGAATATTTGTATATTGTTTGAATACAGCTAAGGTAACATTTATAGTATGGTTTTGGAAGTTCAAATCCTCAAACATGTATCTTGATATTTTGATTTCTTTGTTGTGTGTTCAAGGTAAGTTACAAAAATGAATAATTTGAATCAAGATTGCTAATTGTCAAGATGATGTGCATAAACTACATCTTGCAGGTGAAATTTGTCCTATGATATGTAAACCAGCATGAATATGGTAAGGTTACCATATCAGTGTAGATAAAAATTCCAAGTATCTATCTGTTGACAATCAGTTTATACTGAAATGATAACATTGTGAAGGTTGTACATAAATTGTATGTGTATATATAGTGTGTCTTATATATGTATGATTTCAGTAAATTTTGAATCTGCTCTATTACTGTCAGTACTAGCAGATGAGGAGGTCTCACTTTGCAAAGTTGGGTTTTGCAGATTTTTTTTTTATATAATTATAATATATAGATTATTTTGAAGTTTTAGGTAAATGTATTGTTGATTTTCATTTAACCATACTGATTATTTTCTGCAGCCTGGAGAACTTCAAACAACGTTTATTGCGTAAGAGAGAACAGTGGAGGGAGAGGCGGCAGTCAAGTAAAACCTTGAAAGATGCCATACGAAAGGACTCAAAGGAGGACCAACCAAAGGAATCAGCCAAACTTGTGGAGGACAGTAAGTGCTGGTGGCTTTTGATGATACACATTTTCTATCTATTCTTGCAGAATGGAATGGTGACAGATTATGATGAGAAAGTGTAGGCTGACATGAATGAAAGATGTGTAGTAGTATATGCATAATAAGAATGTAGGTTTGTGTATATCATGCAGACAGACAAATAATAATTTCAAATGAAAATTCCTATGCAACTCATGAACATCCAGGATCATTCAGGACACTGAGACAGTGCAAGAACTACACATTGCAAGGGTTATTTTTGGGTATGATGGGCATTGCTTGTATTTGTTCTTAACACCTACCCATAAACTTAGATTAGATTAGATATTACCTTGAAGTATATCAATGAAGATATGTGTTGATACCTGTGAAAAGTACTTATTGAAATGCTTTGACTCATGTGGAGATCTCATTTGATTATTTAATTTTTAAGACATTATAAACTATATCAGTTATGATTACACACAAAAAAATAAATAGATAAATAAAAATAATAATAATAATAATAATTGTAATTATTAGGACATTTCTCATGTATGACTACTTTACAGATCCTCCCTCCACACCAGACAACAAGCTATACAGATGGTTTTCCTTACGCAAAAGTGTTAACTATGATGTTGAACGACGGAGCAGCACCATTGCCAATACTGAGCGCACCAGTTCATATACCACCACGAGCAATGGTACCAGCACAATCACTAACCACAGAATGCCACAGTTGCTCGAGGAAGGGGACACAGAGCATGGGGGGCTCTTCTCTGAAAATGGTGGGGTGTTTGCCCACACCTTTCAGCGCCGGCACCAACCTCCAGCGCTACCCCCCATGCCACAGGGCCTCAGTCCGGAGCAGATCAAACGGCGACATATTGTTGCTTCAATAGTTCACAGTGAAAATAACTATGTAGCAACTCTTCAAAGACTAGTCAATGTAATTAGACTTTTGATTCAGTATTATTTGCAGTATAATGTAATTGAAAGTATTTATTAAAAAAGAGCATTTCTTATCATAGTGAGAGATTTATTTAAATAACAGGTGATATGCCAAAATAAAAACTGACATTCTACATATTATATTGGATTACTTATCTTTCTCATTATCATTTCAGGACTACAAAAAACCTTTGGATGATTCCAAACCTCCTATTCTCAATGCAGCCAAACTTTCCACCCTCTTCCATCGAGTATCAGAGATTCTTCAGTGCCACACCTTGTTCCGAATTGCTCTCGCAGAGTCAGTGCGACAATGGGACAGAGAGGAGAAGATTGGAGATGTGTTTGTTGCTTCTTTCTCCAAGGCTATAGTTTTGGATATCTACAGCGACTTTATTAACAACTTTACTCGTGCCATGGAAGTTGCAAAGCAAGAATCGAAAAAGAAAACTGCTTTTGCTGATTTTCTGAAGGTAATATATAGATGAATGAGTTTTGATATGTAAGTAATTGTGCTGGATAGGCTTCTTCCTATTTAATTAAAAAGAGATCTAGCCAGAAGGAGAAGTATAAAATGTTTCTATTCTCATTGTGTGAAATGTGCAGTAAGCATTATTAAGTGAAATAAGAATGAAAGGTATTGTCGTGCAGTAAGAGTTGAAATGTGGTCTATAGGTTTATATTAAAAGAATTGGAAGTGTTCTATTAAAAATGAATAGTATAAAATTTATACTTGATGTTTGATTTTGAATTTTGTGGGTTTCATTCCCAGAGAAAACCACAGAAGTTGCAATTACAATATCTGACTTTCAATGATAGATCACAGTTAATCATAGAGTCCTAGTAGCGCGTCTTGTTTTATTCATTAAGATAGATTAGATTAAAATGAAAACTAATTTGGAAGGACCTGAAAATAAGTTTCCATATTTATGACCTCCAGATGCGTCAGATCACCTCGCCTGATCGACTGTCATTCTTTGGACTCATGGTAAAACCAGTGCAGCGTTTTCCCCAGTTCATCCTTTTCCTCCAGGTATGATTGTAGATTCTAACAATTGCAAGGATTTGGTAGAATGAAAAATGTATTGTATCCAGATACTCTGTGTTATTACTGTTAGATTTGTAATATTTTTATAAAAAGAAACACAAAGGTAAATATTTTTGAACTATGAAATTTATTATAAAATCAAATTCATTCCTCAGATACAGACAGACATATTACACAGCAAAAAAGTAACATCGCTCTCACTTAGACTGTTCATATATAAATTCCCTCAGATTCATACATTTATATTATTTATATCCTGTAGAGATTTTAAGCAGTTAGGTTCTATTATGTTCTTGAGATCTTTTGATTATAATATTTCATTACTTCCCAGTACTTAATGGTACTGGGAAGTAATGAAAGTAATATTATAATCAAAAGATCTCTATAACCTAACCATTCAAAATCTCTACAGGAATTCCCTGATTATTAGAATTTTATCATGAAATGGGTCAGTTGAAATTCTGTAGTGTTCTTATGAAAATTATATATCTATTGTACCTCTAAAATAAGTTCTACCATTTCACAGGACCTACTGAAGCACACTCCTCAAGGGCACCATGATCGCATGTCCCTTCAGTTAGCATTGACCCAGTTGGAGTCGCTGGCAGAGATGCTCAATGAGAGGAAACGGGAAGCTGAACAGTATCAGGCTTTCCGAGATACACTGAAACACATCAATACCAAATTTGCACTGCGAGGAATTCAGGAGGGTAACCGCTACTTGCTACGTCAAGACGACGTTTTGCAATTGGTAAGTTAGGATTACTTTAGTCATGCCTTTCTTTATGAAAAGTCAGTTATCTAATTTATATTCAAGTTTACACTGCTGGCAGAAAAACTAAAGTAGTATTTTATCAGGTAACAATCTAGTCCATTCAAGCATGAAAATATGAATACTTATTGAATGAACAATATTTTAATAATTTCTCTCAAACATGTCATTTATATTTACAAATTTGGAATTAATTAACTAACAAAAGTGGGAGAGGAATTATACGTCATATACTCTAATTTCTCAGTCAGATGGTCAGCATATTGTTGCTAAGGAGAGGATAGACTCAGTATGCCTTATTAAAAAAACATATTGTATACATTCATTGCTTTTAATATATATGGAGGCATTTATAGATATACTTTCAAATCATGAATGATGTTTTATAAATGCTCGGCCAAAAATGAGGAATTGTTTATGATCATATATTAAATAGATATTCAGAATAGTTGGTCTAACAGTCATTTGAAAAATAAAATCCTAGCCATAGATGAACAAGTGTGAATATTCTGTATTAAAACATTTCAATAACCTAGCTATGCTCCACAGCTTATAAGCTAATTATCTGTAGGGTACATTCTCACCTCTGATTTATCACAGCACCTACATTATTAGGAGGAGAAATTGTCAGCTATGTGACATTTTCCCATTCTTTATGTCTTCGTAAAGGAAAGATAGTTATCAGTGATGGGTAAAAAGTGGAATAAACATTTCAGCTATCCTCCTATTTACACTTTCTCTCATTTTTGAACTATGAAATTTATTATAAAATCAAATTCATTCCTCAGATACAGACAGACATATTACACAGCAAAAAAGTAACATCGCTCTCACTTAGACTGTTCATATATAAATTCCCTCAGATTCATACATTTATATTATTTATATCCTGTAGAGATTTTAAGCAGTTAGGTTCTATTATGTTCTTGAGATCTTTTGATTATAATATTTCATTACTTCCCAGTACTTAATGGTACTGGGAAGTAATGAAAGTAATATTATAATCAAAAGATCTCTATAACCTAACCATTCAAAATCTCTACAGGAATTCCCTGATTATTAGAATTTTATCATGAAATGGGTCAGTTGAAATTCTGTAGTGTTCTTATGAAAATTATATATCTATTGTACCTCTAAAATAAGTTCTACCATTTCACAGGACCTACTGAAGCACACTCCTCAAGGGCACCATGATCGCATGTCCCTTCAGTTAGCATTGACCCAGTTGGAGTCGCTGGCAGAGATGCTCAATGAGAGGAAACGGGAAGCTGAACAGTATCAGGCTTTCCGAGATACACTGAAACACATCAATACCAAATTTGCACTGCGAGGAATTCAGGAGGGTAACCGCTACTTGCTACGTCAAGACGACGTTTTGCAATTGGTAAGTTAGGATTACTTTAGTCATGCCTTTCTTTATGAAAAGTCAGTTATCTAATTTATATTCAAGTTTACACTGCTGGCAGAAAAACTATTGTAGAATTTTATCTGGTAACAATCTAGTCCATTCAAGCATGAAAATATGAATACTTATTGAATGAACAATATTTTAATCATTTCTCTCAAACATGTCATATATATTTAGAAATTTGGAATGAATTAACTTAAGTGGGAGAGGAATTATACATCATATACTCTAATTTATCAGTCAGATGGTCATCATATTGTTGCTAAGGAGAGGATAGACTCAGTATGCCTTATTAAAAAAACATATTGTATACATTCATTGCATTTAATATATATGGAGGCATTTATAGATATACTTTCAAATCATGAATGATGTTTTATAAATGCTCGGCCAAAAATGAGGAACTGTTTATGATCATATATTAAATAGATATTCAGAATAGTTGGTCTAACAGTCATTTGAAAAATAAAATCCTAACCATAGATGAACAAGTGTGAATATTCTGTATTAGAACATTTCAATAACCTAGCTATGCTCCACAGCTTATAAGCTAATTATCTGTAGGTTACATTCTCACCTCTGATTTATTACAGCACATACATTATTAGGAGGAGAAATTGTCAGCTATGTGACATTTTCCCATTCTTTATGTCTTCGTAAAGGAAAGATAGTTATCAGTGATGGGTAAAAAGTGGAATAAACATTTCAGCTATCCTCCTATTTACACTTTCTCTCATTTTTGAACTATAGCTTCTCCCTATTATTTCATTTTTTATTCCAAAGGGACATTGGTAATAACACAAGTAACTACAGAATTAAAGGCATTGTTATGAGATGTTATGTAGCTTATGGATTAGACATCAGGTGAAGATGTCTAGTATGATAGCATGTTTGTTTATGATGCTAATGACAGGGTTGTTGCCATCTATTTATTTAGATTGAGTGGACTCTATGAATGTTTAATTTCATAGAAAGACTGTAGGCAGTATAGTTAGACTACAGTGATGGAGCAGGTGCTAGGACATTCAATTAAGTATTCTGTGCTCATTTCAACAAGTGTTTTTTATATACTTCATACCAAATATTATAATACAAATGAGAAGTTTGTTAAGAAGTTAAGATTTTATTGATTGAATGACAGGGTGCAGTTCGATACTTGAGTGCACTACATTGATACCAGATAAGATTTTGCCACAGTATTTTCAGGGGGTCACAGGCTTCTTCAGCAAGCAGTGTCTTATATTTTAGTTTTGTGGCTTATATCCATTCTTCATATTGTTGGTCAACTTAAATGATGTTTTTTTTCTTTCCCAGAGAAGGAGACTAAATTTTTATGAAATTGGAATGGAAGTGTATTATTTTTATATAATTTAATGAATTAATTTATTAATTTTAATGTGTATTATCAAATATAGGCATTTTTAACTAAACTTACAATCTTCTCCACAGGAATTCAACCAGAATGGATTGATAAGCAAGAGTAAGGGACGTCGACTATTCCTTACCAATGATCTGATCATGTGTGTGACTGTTGTACCAAAGACAAATGAGGACTATGGACAGCAGAATGAACGTCTCTCTCTAAAATGGGCTTTTCCAGTCACAGATGTTGAGGTAAGAAGTCCTTCATGATGAAGATAGTAATTGTGACCTATGTATATATAGTATTACAATTTTATAATTATTTGGGAAAGAAGAATCATTATAAACTTTCTCCTCATATATAGAACATACAGAACTTCCACATACATACATACATACATACATACATACATACATACATACATACATACATACATACATACATACATACATACATACATACATACATACATACATACATACATACATACATACATACATACATACATACATACATACATACATACATACATACATACATACATACATACATACATACATACATACATACATACATACATACATACATACATACATACATACATACATACATACATACATACATACATACATACATACATACATACATACATACATACATACATACATACATACATACATACATACATACATACATACATACATACATACATACATACATACATACATACATACATACATACATACATACATACATACATACATACATACATACATACATACATACATACATACATACATACATACATACATACATACATACATACATACATACATACATACATACATACATACATACATACATACATACATACATACATACATACATACATACATACATACATACATACATACATACATACATACATACATACATACATACATACATACATACATACATACATACATACATACATACATACATACATACATACATACATACATACATACATACATACATACATACATACATACATACATACATACATACATACATACATACATACATACATACATACATACATACATACATACATACATACATACATACATACATACATACATACATACATACATACATACATACATACATACATACATACATACATACATACATACATACATACATACATACATACATACATACATACATACATACATACATACATACATACATACATACATACATACATACATACATACATACATACATACATACATACATACATACATACATACATACATACATACATACATACATACATACATACATACATACATACATACATACATACATACATACATACATACATACATACATACATACATACATACATACATACATACATACATACATACATACATACATACATACATACATACATACATACATACATACATACATACATACATACATACATACATACATACATACATACATACATACATACATACATACATACATACATACATACATACATACATACATACATACATACATACATACATACATACATACATACATACATACATACATACATACATACATACATACATACATACATACATACATACATACATACATACATACATACATACATACATACATACATACATACATACATACATACATACATACATACATACATACATACATACATACATACATACATACATACATACATACATACATACATACATACATACATACATACATACATACATACATACATACATACATACATACATACATACATACATACATACATACATACATACATACATACATACATACATACATACATACATACATACATACATACATACATACATACATACATACATACATACATACATACATACATACATACATACATACATACATACATACATACATACATACATACATACATACATACATACATACATACATACATACATACATACATACATACATACATACATACATACATACATACATACATACATACATACATACATACATACATACATACATACATACATACATACATACATACATACATACATACATACATACATACATACATACATACATACATACATACATACATACATACATACATACATACATACATACATACATACATACATACATACATACATACATACATACATACATACATACATACATACATACATACATACATACATACATACATACATACATACATACATACATACATACATACATACATACATACATACATACATATATACGTACATACATACATATATAAATACATACATACATACATAACAACCCTCCCTGATCAGAACTCGAACCTAGATCACTCCAGGTACGAATCCCAAGTTGGCAGGAAAATTTCGTGTTCACTGTAGTATTTTGTGAAATGCCTCTGCACATAAATGGCTCCACAAGTGATTAACCACAAAGGAGTTAATTAGTAGACTTTGTAACCTTGCCTGATTCCACCTATCCTTGAGTGTAAGATTTTTTAATATTATTGTTATTATTATTAATATTATTTTTATTATTTTCTTTTTGTTTTTTACTGATGCTATCAATATCAATACTGTTGTTATTATCATTATAGACATTAAAATTATTATAATGATATTGGCATTACAGAAAGGAATATAAGATACCAGTAAATATTTCTGAAAATCTGGAGAAAGGGTAAATAGGTGGGATAGGTTGTCCCCATAATTGGTTCATTAGTGACCTAGTACTTGTGGAGCCATCTATGTGTAAAGGCAATTAATAAACTATACTCAGTGGATTGGGTTAATGTAGCAAGATGCCAAGAAATACTGAAGGGTGTCACGTTTAGAGAAGTGCTCCTTGTGGAACTGATGTGTATGTTAAAGTAAATAGGTAGCTAGAAGGAACCATTAAATTTATTGCATTTATTAATATTATTAATTAATCAGAAATAGTATTGTGTTGCTGTGTTATTTAATGTGTGGCATCATTGACAGTTTCAGTTCAACATGTTCTTCGTATTTCTGCTTTAAGTAACATGAATTTAATCATATTCCACACATAGATGAACCCTACCTGGCATAAGATATACAATGACTAGACAGCTGGGTGTAATAAACATTCATAGGAATAGATAAATAAATGATGTTGATTTGCTTCTCTTTAGAACCTAAAGGTAACTCTAAGGGCTGAATGTAAAAGTGCTAATAAGTAATTACTATGTGGCATTCAAAAAAAAAAAAAAAAAAAAAAAAAAATGTCAAGAGGGGAAACATTTTCTTTAAAACCAAGATGAAAAGATTAAATCTAATGAGAGAATCAGTTGCGGAAATAATAATTTGATTGGTCCATTACACAGCATAATAGTAGTAAGGCTAATAAATATTGTAATTAAGTATGAAGCCATTCTTATGTAACGGACTATATATATTGCATTATAATACTCTGTTAAAGAACTGTTCATGAACCAGTATATTGATGAAGCTTCTTTTGTGTTTCAGGGTTTGACTTCAGAGAATCTCCAACATGTTGCCAGCAGTATCCAGCGGGCCTTGCACATCCGAGATGAACAAATGGCATGGGTTGATGCCTGTTGCTTACAGTTCACAGTCAAGAACAAAGATGGTCGAGAGAAAGAGACTTTTACCTTCCAGACAGATAATCCTGTTATCAAGAAAGATTGGATTGTTGGTGAGTACAACCAAGAAAATGTTTTATCAGTACATGGTGTTATATATTTGGTAAATTCAAATTTGTTTGGGAGATGTTATGTTCGGTTTACTTTTAGGTGTGGAAAAAAGTAAGGCTAATTAACGAGCCACAGAAGTTGGATCATCAAATTATCCTTGTCATATGAATAGTATTTGTGTGATGTTCTTGTCATTAAGAATATTATATGCTGAAATGTCATGATAAACACAAATACAAATATATTTACATATTTACAAAGAATAACTTAACAAATAGTTCATAGTTTTATCTGTGGTGTTGAGTTTTGTCTGATTCAAAATATCACAATTTATTTGTTTTATTAATTATGTTTTACATGTAGATGGCTCCACTAGTACTTAGTCACCAAGAAGTCAAATATTTTGTGTACCTGACCTCACCTATTTGTGTCATTCCTACATCTTTTATTGCCATTATTATTGTTAGCATAATTTTAATGACAACATTTATTAAGTTAACCCATTGCCAACTGGCATGCCATGCCATGACCACTATGAGTTTAATTGTTTAATTGTTTTTACACATAAACGGCTACACTTGTACTAAGTCACCAATGAGCCAGTTACAAATACTGCCTGTCTCACCCATTTACCCTTTTCTTTAATTTACGTATATATTTTACATTATCTTATTTTGCTATTACTAATGTTTGTAACATTATAGTAATTATAATGTTTATAATAAAAATAACACCATCGATATTTATAGCACTAGTAAAGAATGCATTTTCCCGCCAATTCAGGGAAAGGTGAAATCAGGTAAGGCTAAGCAGCAGAGCCATCTATGTGTAGAGACATTTCATAAAAACATATATAAAACGAGCACAACATTTAACCCATTTTTTATTTATTTTTTCTGGTGGCAATGGATTAACAATGATAACTGTAGTTGTAAAAACATTTTTTCCCAAAATTTCAAGGAATGGGGTAAACAGGTTAAGCCAGACAAGCTTAATTGACACCTTGGTGACTAAGTCATCTATGAATGAATTAAATAAAACCATAGTAGACAGTGCATGTACCCAACATTAATGGGTACTTGCACTGCAGTAATGGATTGAATTGGTATGTTTTGCCATAGTTTCATTTGGTAATAAACATTTTCCTATTAGAGAAGTATTATGCATTCAAGATTGTTTGATAGAAACAGACATTGGTTAATGTGCATTACTGGATTTACTTGTTACAGATTTTTGTATAATTATTATCTGAACTATATAACATCTGTATAATATCTATATATTGTGTAAATAACAAACATGTGCAAACTATCGGTTAATGATAGATAAATGATTCTGTATGTTTTTGTTTTTTTTAGGGGGGGCAAGATTTTGATCACATTGTTGGAATTATCTTGGCAGTGACAAATTGCCTTTGTAGAAATGGTTGGTTTAATGCTAATGGCAGATGAATGGGATCACCACTTAAAGTCTTGGGTTAATGTAGACATATGGGTTTGCTGTTGTAAAAAGCATCTTTATCTTATGTGTTTATTATTATTGCTATTTTTTATTCTTGAAAAAAGGCATTTAACACTATTGATACTACAAAATATTTCCAGTTTTGGTAAATTCTATGGCACAAACTTTTTTATGTTGAACACTATTTTCTTCTTATAGAACTGCGTCTGGCTCAGCTGGCTTTAGACAGTGCCAATTCTCCAGCATGGGATGTTCCAGAACAAGAGAAACGACCATCTACAAAAATGCCACTTTTCGTGAAAGCTCTTCCAGTCTTCTCATCCCCTCATGAGACAGAGGTATAATATTATTATTGTCAATAAAACCTTGACCAAAAGTTCCCTATAAAGTCATGCATCTATTCAGAATTTACATTCATACTTTAAGCTTTTTGCATTTATAATAATTTGGATTACAATATTTTAACTGATCAACAGGTTAAGTGTGGATGCTGCTACACTGTCACCCTGTCACGGCCAAGCAGGTTGTCTGGAACTGGCAGACACCACAATTACCTCTGGCTGTGCTCATCTGATGGCGTATCCTCACACATCACAATATACCTCATGCAGCAGGTAAGAACAGAATAAAAACTATATGGACTTTATCCTTTGGATGACTGTAATTGTGTTATTTTTGTCTTGGGTTACTGCTATTCTATGATGTATGTTCTGTGGAATTTACAATTAAATTTCATTTAGGATGAAATTGCAATGATAATGGTACACTGAATGATCGATGGTCAGACATAGGGATAGACTTTGTTTATTTTGAAACAAAGAAACATTTAGGCTTCCTCAAGAAATGCATGACAAATTATTTATTTATTGTGATAATTTGCATGTCTTGTAGATGGAAATAGAATAGTTGTGCAGTGTACATCTATTCACCAATATACAGTAAAGATTAATATAGGTAAATCCATTATGATTATATTGGTAGAAATTTAGGGGCTTCTTATATCTTGCCAACATGGAAAACTGTTACTGCCATTTTAAAGGAAAAGTGATTTTAAGAACTTAATATTCTAATGCATAAATAACTTTTCAGGTCGGTTTGCGGGAAATTGTGCGTGTAGACTTAGTTGAGGTCTGTGTCACCTCATTACAACATGTTCCTGGCATCACCACTACCACAGATGAACCATCTTTACGTGCCCACACTGTCTGGATGGGAACACACTCACACAGGTAAGAATTTTAATTCTGTTGTGCAATATGTGTATTTTCTACTCTTCACACAGCATTTATTGAAAGTATATATGATGTGTATTATTAAACTATTAATGCTAATTAGTTCATGTTGAAATGCTTTATTCATTGTGATTTTAGTTTGTTAATTTGTGTATACATAAATGGCTCCACAAATGCTTAATCACCTAGGATTCATCTACTAGTCTTACCTAATCTCACCAGTCTACCTTTTTCTTTAAATTTGGTAAATTTTATTTTATTCTTATTGCTATTATTGTTTGTAATAACTTCAGAATAATTATAATGTCAATAATAGTAATCATACTATCCTGTTCGATCCAGTTACCTCACATATTCCAAAAAGCATTCATTAGGCTTGAGTGGTAACTTTCCCGAGTGTGTGCCCTATATGTATATGTATGTGTATGTGTGTGTACGTGCGTGTGTGCGTGCGTGCACGCACACATGATTAACACCTTGGTGACTAAGCTTTGAGTAGCTATCTATGTATAAGTAAAACAAAATTGACAAAAGAAAACAACAGTGGAGAGCACTATACTTGGAAGCAATAAGTTCAAGTTCAAATGGTAAAGACCATCATCACTGTTCATTGCATATTTATTTATCTATATATATATTTTTTTTAATTTTATTTTATTTTTATTTTTTTCCAGACTAATTGTGTACAGTGGACTAGAACCAGAACGTCAGACTGAATTGGGGTCAACAAATGTGCCAGCAGCAGTGACGACAATTAAATATCATTGTGATCAGGTATGATGAAACCTTGTCATGTAATCAAATACAGTTGAACCTCGTTTAATGTAAGCCAAGGTACTTTAAGACAGGTAGTGCCATTCTATCACAGTGAAATTCTTAGCTGGCTGTTGCCAAGTTAAATCCCACCTCTTTGACTTCATTTGTTGCAAGATATTAAGAGGGAATTTATTATTATTATTATTATTATTATCCTTATTATTATTGTTATTGCTATTATTATTATTTAAATATATATATATTTCCTTACCATTGTCATTGTTGAATCATTTTCAAAGAAAATATATTGAAAAAATACCATAGAATTTTACACAGATTATCAGGGAGAAAAGTGGCTTATGATGTCATAACATTTAGCCTGAGAGTGCACTATGAAATATCAGATATGGCTTGATATATAATTTTATGTATATTATATGTGATATTGTTATAATTACCAGAATAAAAACAAAAATTCCACACTTATTTGTGCTAATAAAGTATTCCATTCCACAGTTGTCAGAATATACTAGGGAAAAAGTTGTTTTCATATTTGGGTTCAATAGGCCAAATGGTGCTACCTGTCTTTTATTTCCTTGCAGAAAAAATTAGGATTCAGAAAACTATTGTTCTGTCTTGAGAGACATTAACCCATTGCTGTCGGAGAAAATGAATAAAAAATGGGGAAAATGCTGTACTCATTTTTTATATTTTTGTGAAATATCTCTGCACATAGATGGCTCTGCTAGTCCTGATTTCACCTTTCCTTGAATTGGCGGGAAAAAACGTATTCTTACTAGTGCTATAAATATAGACGGTGTTATTTTTATCAGTAAATTAGGATAACGTTAAATATTTTCGTAAATCAATGAAAAGGTGAACGGGCGAGACAGGCAGTACTCGTAATTGGCTCACTGGTGACTAAGTACATACAATGTAGCCATCTATGTGTAAAAACAATCAAACA